GTAGTGAACTGGCAGCTCAACACTTACGGCGTATTGGCAAGCTGTGCACCTCACTTCCATACTTCGTGGGAGTTGTGCTGTTCGTTGTTGCGAGCATATATGTACTATCAGTCATCAGGTTGGTGGGTGACTGAGTTCGTGGCGTTTTTGTATGACTAACCATAACTAATTAGTGAAAGAGTTATTGGTTAAATTTATGGAACTGGAGAAACACTTGTGCGAGTCTCACAATTAAAATAGAAATATGTAGCGAATCAAGCTAAAATGTAACGCAAACGTTGAACGTACCGCGTTCCCATAGACACAATGACTGCAACCTTATAATTTAACCATGAAGCAAATTTATGTAATTTAAATAATACTTATCCATGCCTGTACAATTGGTGTGTCCTACACAGGTAGGAAAAAATGTATTTTATTAAATTACTATTATTAAATATGCTTATTAATCGTATATGTAATTAATCATATTGATGATGCCTATAAACTGGCGTCCCTCATGTACAAAATGAGTATATATTATTATTATTAATCGTTCTCTTTCTGTGAAAAGAGAGGTCACCCATTTGAGAAGCTTACCAGTTATCCCGTAGGATTGGAGTTTAGCTAGGGATCTATTATGTGGGACTTCATCAAAGGCTTTGATACCGTCGAGAACTAACGATGCCACTGAATGCCCATTACCTGTACATTCTGTCATTTGGTCAAAGTAATCAAAGTGTTAATTAGTGCACGATTTCCTACCGAAGAGACCCTACTGTAATGTGGATAATAGTTCATCAGAAAGAAAATACTGAATGATTTGAGTCTTTACGACCTTTTCCATTACACGGGAAAACATTGCGTGATGTTAATGGTGCGGTAGCCATTAATATCAGATACAGACCCGTATTTAACAATGGGTACAATATAAGGCTTCTTCTAGCAGATAGAGTATTTCCATCGTTCAGTGTGAATGAAGATAACTCGGGAAGCAAATTCATGCCATTGCCACATTTTTCCAGCAGAATGGAAGCTATGCGTCTGGACTAAGAGTGTTAGTAGGCATAAGATTTGCGATAACCTTATTGATCTCTTGTGTTAAGGAGAGTGTGTCAATTAGACATTCATTTGTCATAATTTGAAAATCCACAACCTTATCGTTCACCAATGTGCATAGTATGGCAAAGTGTTTGCTCAACAGTTCACATAAAGCGTCGGCACTCCCGTAAACAATGTCATCTACCTATATTATTTTTTGATAGGCTTTTTCCGATTTCCTTAACCTACATTTGAAGCGTTTCGCTATTTCCCTTGTATTATATGCTGCCCGTATTTGCTTATTGCTAAGGATTATAACTTTTAACTCCTGAATTCTAGTGGGAACAGACATTATATCATATAATGATGATAAGCCATAATATGTGTGGTATTCTTTTAAGTGGTAACGGGCGCCGTATGAATAATTCGAGGATATAGACTTTCAGTCTTCACCCAAACCGAAGCGAAACCAAACTGTTTCAAAGAAACCCGACCAAAACCAAAACAAATCTAACGGTTCTAATTAAAACTGACCGAAGTCCAAGGCAAAACAAATTATTTCAGGCAGAACTATGTGGATAACAGGAAATTGAAGAACTGCAAGATTACTGTTATATTTGACAAACAATAATATATATTTTCACATAAATTAAACATTTACATGATTAACATACTGTTTGTACAGGCATGATCATATTCGACAAGTACAATTTGAAATGGAACACCGTTTTTTGACATCAAAAATTGGAAAAATGGAAAAAACCTCTAGAAAGCCTTCAAGTATGGGGTTATCGGGCATCCAAACCCAGAGACTGCAATAGTAGAATACATAATCACTTAGCAATTAACAAAATGTCAATTTAAACAAGATGTATAAAAGAATCCAGTGAAGCACAAACAGTCTAATTAACACAAAATGCAAAATGGTTCACAAAATAAAACATTGGTGGTTAATGCTTTCGTATACTTTTCCTTAACTATGTCGGAATATAATCAAATTTGGAATTTAAAGCTGATAATCTTTTCAGGTGCAGCGACATCATAATTGACTTTATATTGTGGTGGAAATTGCTAAGAACTGTCTGCAGGAAGATTGTGATTCCCAGTTAAAGCGTCTAATTAGATGGCGGTGGAAGTTCCATTCAGAATGCGTGTATACTCTTGCAGTTATCTGACCAACAATTTGATTCAGGAAAGGTGTTAAAATAAAAGAACCACTATTTTATGTCACCACTTGGAAATTTTTATTTCCCACATGTACGGTAGATGTTGTTTTGTCTTTTGTGAATATAAGATATGGGATATTTGCGGATCTAGTGGGTGAATGTTTGTATTGTATTCACCCTCTTCTGACGACGGAACTCAGACCATCACATCTCGCATGTCCTTGAAGTGAAAGCCGTGATACTCCCGGCGTGTTGAAGTCACATCCAGTATTTTAAATATGAAGAAAGGATCGGCAGTAGCACTTAAAATGTCGCTGAGTATGCTGCCATGTTCACAGCTGGATGATGTGGTCAGTACAGGCAACCCATATGTACAGGTTTACTTCTGACAACGTTTATTTTGACCCACACTGAGTCATTGAGTTGTGACGGAAGTGTGTTAATGCCCTGAGTTCCGCAGATCGACTGTTCGGTGTAAATTAGTGTTCCACCTCCACAGCTTCACTCTCTGTCCCCTCAAAAAATGTTTGAGTTATCAATTCTTAAGCTGTCATTATAGATTTCACCTGCACACCATGCTTCAGTGATCATAATAAATTATGGTCTACATATGGAATCCAATGTTCGTAGTGTATAATGTTTGTTTGGAATTGATCAAGTATTTACGAATATAGTACATAAACACTGGCTCAGTGGTCTGAGTGCGAGGACATCTTGATAAAATACTCTCTGACTATTATCTATACACATGATTCTGGATTCACTAACTATTATTTATGGGTAACTGGAAGGCTTTGGATAGGCCTGTATGTCTCCGCGTTCTTGTGACATTAGACATAGATCATCAACAAGATCCAGTACTTCCAGAATATTCTTGCTAGCTGAACGTTCTCACACGATTCAGTTCATCACAAAATGATATATTATCGGTGTCAGTGGATAGGTTGGTATTATCCCTGTCTTCACCACAAAGGCTTCGGTGAATTTGTCGTTGTGATTCGCGTTACGTGTTGCATCATGGTTTAGCTGCTGAATGACGTTGGTGAGGGTTTGAGGTGCTCCATAGTGCTGAAGCAGTTTCTAAATAGCCTCGCTGTCAACGGTACTTATTGTCCTTTGAAATTAGATGTAAGTGCTGGTTTGTAATTGACCATACTATTTCCTACAAGGTTTCTTATTGCATAATCGCAGGCTTATCCGCTTAAAGAACCCATTTTTGATGCAAAGCTAATTAGCTGTGCGGATAATCTGATGAGTTGTTACATGTATATATGGAATGTGATAGACAGTGAGCGTCTCGCTCTATTTTTTTACTTCACCCCTAGTAAATGTGATGTAGGCGGCTTGATGATGCTATCTCACATGTTGTTTGCACAACTCTTTGTATCTCGGGCGGTCTTTGTACTGCCCATGTATTCGAAAATTTGACATTGGGGAGGAATCTAATAGAGAAGTATGTATTCTTAACTTCTAACCAGATAAGGTAGACTATGAGCCTCAGTGTCTCAAGATAAATTATTTATGTCGTGCCACCTAAACCAAGTTGTCTTGCTACATAGTTTTCCTCGAAACACTTTCCTCCAATATTCCATGAGTATGAAAAGAAGACTTACGAAAAGAAGCAGGTATGCTCTATTAGAACTGTCTGCAATGCTTATAAGAACGACAAGGGGCTGGAAAACAAATCAGAAATAATTCACCCTTGGTGGCCAGAACTTGAGTTGTTTGCCATCAGAACGCGATCTAGGCCTTATTTTAACAGAAAAGCTAGACACCAGTGTAAATTACACGAGGGACGTCGCCAAAGCTTACGCCACTTTACACTTTATGCATAGGCAGCTGGGAGCTCTTACTCCTGAACTATTCCTAACGTTGTATACGACATACGTGAGGCCACTCCTTGAGGTGCACAATATCATTGCTCCTCCGCTACTCAAAAGGGATGCTAACATTCTAGAAAGTGTCCAGAGACGAGCGACAAAATGGGTGCTCGGCCTCCGCAACAAATCATATGAGGAAAGACTGAAGAAATTAAGTCTTTTCACACTTAGTTACCGTAGTCACAGGGGAGACCTCATCACCGTCTATAAGATCTTAAATGACCAGGCCCACCCTAATAAGAGCATCCTGCCATTAAGTGATTATAGGCTTCCACGAGGTAACCCACTAAAGATAGCACACCAGAGACCAAGGACTCGAGTGCGTTCACATTTCTTCTCGCTTCGAGTTTGCCGTCTCTGGAACGCTTTACCGGCGGCCGTAACTACAGCTCCATCTGTGGAGACTTTTAAGCGGAAGCTGGACAATCATGCAGAAATGCATGGTTTGTGTCTCAATGGCTTACCCTCCTAAAATTTGAAACCACATTGTCAATGGATAAGCATACAAGCTAAATCCCCACGGCCCGTCCTGTCTTCTCCCACCGTACCGACTACTCTATCTTTTCTTTCTTTCTTTATTATTTCACCTTTATTATTTCACTTATCTCAACCTATATTATCTACACTACAACCTATTATTATTCTACTTTTATGACTATACCGAATGACCAGCGGGTGTTAGGTCAAACTCCATTCACGGCAGCAGCTGAGTCCTAACATACTGCACACTACAAACCACAATCTTGACCAATCCTCGCACCACTCCTCTTGGAGTCTACCAGAGCTAAAGCAGTCTAGTGGCGGGATTTACTACGCATAAGTTCACCGAAGATCTGGAACCTCTACCTTACAATCAAGAAGCGAGCTCACAGAAATCACTGGTTTATACTCCGTCGTAATCAGGATATTGGATATTGAATGTCCAAAGTTTGAGGACGTTTTGTAACCTTGATAACGTCGACCTTGGACCACATATATCTGCCATGAACGATTCTACTACAGCAGGAATTTTAAATATAACACATGTAACAAAGGCTAAGGAGTTAGATGACCAATTTCTATTCGCCACATCAGCATATTCTCAAATTATCGCTAGTTTATGTGCACTGCTTTCATGCATGATAACATTTCACCAAGTAAATTATCTAATGCTATTTCGAATAGTTCAGATGTATTTCCACCTTAAGAACTATACATGTGTCGCTGAACAACGGTATATAATAAGGATTTTAGTACTGGTTCCAGCGTATGCCATCTATTCATTTCTAAGTATAATGCTGGCTGTGCATGCAATGTTGGATAGTATCTACGTAGATTTCATACATGACATTGCAGAAGGTAGTTTCATCATATGTTCTAATTGTTTAAGCATTCGCAATTTATAGTTTTCTGGCTTTGTGCTATCAGTACCTCAGAGGGGAAGGAAACATAATGTTGGAGCTCACTGGGAAAACTATCAAGTAATTTTTATTTTATTTTGGTCTAGGATTTCAGATTCAGCATACTTTATGGTACTTGCTGTTTTGCTGGGAAACCATACACTATCCTATTTCTCCGATTTTGTAAGATAGTAAGTGCACCCCAAATTTTATGTGATTGTGCTGCCTGAACAGGATAGATTTTAGGTGGCCTGAAGCTTTGTTTGTATTTTTAGTCATTTGGACTATGTCAATGTAACGTAGGTTAGACATTCTTTATTATGTTCCAAGCATTCGCAACGTTTTATATCCTTGATTATTTGGTCAAATACCTGGATACCTAACAAGAGGTCTCAAAGTTTTAGTATTACTACTTCATATAATGACTTAGGTGGTATTGTTTGACAATAATTTTTCTTGCTAAAAATTACGGGACAAAGTCAACTGTTATTAGTCGACCTAACAGGGGGGTTTGTACTATTGATAAGGCTTTTTACTAAAGTTGTTAGCTTTGTCATTTCCTAAGACCATGGATTAGTTAGGCTTTATTCGCTGGCGCAAATTACTTGTTACTACATCTCTCGGCAGCTGAGTGTAATACAGCATAAGAAACTAGGGAAATAATTCATTTTTCTGTCCTTAGTTTTTTGTAGTTATTGAGGGATGCACATGTCTTTCGAAGAACTACTCTGGGAATTCATCCTTCACAGATGGCCCTTGTACGCTGTAGTTTGAAATCAACTCGCTGGTTTCGCACTTTGTTGTTATTGTTGTCGAATCAGTCTCCAGCACATACAGTATATGTTCTTATTGTCTCTACCGATTCAAATCGTGAGTTTTTCCTATATTTGAGGATTTGTCTTAAAAGTAGTTCGAATTTTTGTCAGCTTGACTCCTTCCTACTGAGGTTAGTGGTTTTACCTAGCTCATCTTCCTACTGTTAAAGACTGGCCACCAAAAAGAATTTTTGTGAAGTGCACTTACACAAAGTATATATCTAAATGTCTGTTAAGAATACTGAATCCAAGTTGTCCTGCAAGTTACTGTAACTATAGTCCGGCTAGATAATCCTTTGTAGACTTTATTGTTGGTTTTTGAAACACTTATTTCCCTATAAAAATTTAAAACAAGCAACAAAATTTAGTAAATCAGGATTTACAGAATTCATCGAATCTTAGTACAACTTTTCAGCTGGATACTCTACATATAGGGATATATATATATATATATATATATATAATTACATTGGGGCATATAAGACTGATAAGATATCAAGAATTTCGAACTACATGTTGGTGACAATAGTAGTAATGCCAATAATAGTAACAGTAATAATGTTGAAACGATTTAAGATACTAATAACGATAAAAGATAGTTCTAAGTGAATCAGAAATAGTAATAATAGGAGGTAGAATAAAATATTAATAAATAAAAAATTACTATGGTAGATTCAAAGTGACTACCATTTACTTTTGTAAACAAAGACCTGGTCTATAGACTAATTGAAGAAGCCTCCACAGTTGCTAGCATCTTCCTGTTTGTTTGTATGCTGACAATAGTGAATGACTTGACAGCGTCAATACTATGTCCGTAGTCCACAAGATGCCTTCTTATTGAAGTTTCAGGCACCTCAACTTCAGCTGTTTCCAATCACCTTGACAAATGCTCTGCCACGCGAGTAGACAATTGCTCTTCTGTATGACCTATGTGTTTGCTTCCACAAACACTGTAATTGATGTACTCAGTTTGAGGTGCCGATGGTTGATGACCTGCATTTCCCAGGTTGTTGAAGCACGCACTTGGTGCTGTTAAGGAAAACGAGTTTTGCAGCATAGTAAGTTCTCTTGATAGCTCTGTTGAGTTCTCGTCTGACTACTTGTACGTCATCTCTTTTGAACGGCAAACTGATTCATACAGATTTCTCTGAGACTGTTTGGGTAATTTTACTTATATCTTTAGAGTGTTTACTAATGAGCTCTGCAGGTATCCATTCTTAGATGAAATATCCTTCAGAATCTTAATTCCATGTTCATTTGTACTGTCAGAACATATATTTTGTGCTTTATTGAAAAGCGTTCTAAGTTCGAAATTCTTAATATCTCATCCATCTTATATGCCCCAGTATAATTCTAATGGTACATGTATGTGTATATATACTGCATTATGGATAAAATTTTATTTTTATAAAAATCTCAGTGTTATACATTAGTATTTACTGATAAAGTTTCGAGCACAATTTATTGCTCATAGTCATATCAAAATACTCACACAACTTTCTTGCTTCATTTATATACATGAATAAAAATTGATTAGACATTTGAATAAAATCACTATAAGACAGAGTACATTCGGAAATAATATTAGTGTTATCAATAAAATACAATAAGATGTGAAATAAGATGTTTTTATAGTAAAAATAAGTAGCTTGTTAGAATGTTTAAATGTGAATTGAATACATTTTAACATTATTTATTATCCTCTGATTCGACTGGTGTTAAAAATATCTTCCATATCTCTGGTATTTGCGTTGAGTCACTTCTGTTGCATGTGTTGAGTGACTCGATGAACAAGGATTTAGTAATCAATCTCTCCACCTACCCATATATATATATACCTGTATTTGGAGTATCCAGATGAGGAGTTCTACTACGATTCTATGAATTCATCAAATCCTGCTTTCTTCGATACATAGTGTGGGCTTGAGCTTTTGGATAGCTAGTGCCCCGGTTATGCCCAGATGTCTTAATTTAACTCCCTTTGATAGGTTTGATCGAATTTTGTATATTATTTTGAAGGATTTTTCGAATGGCACTGAATGTCATGAATTGACGGGATGTTCTGTCCTCCTTTTACTAGCCAGGTTGGGTAGTGTTCACGAACGCGTTTTTCAAGTTGGTGCATGGTACGGCATGCTTTATTAACTGCTTACTTTATATTGTTGATACTTAGAAAACTGGTTTCTCTACTTAGTTGATGTCTCTAATATTACAATATATGGATTAATATATAGCCTGTTATTTCTCATGTGCTGATTTGAATTAGTCCACTAAGGTATGTTTCATTCCAAAATGCTAAAATTCCTGTCTTTTAACTCTGAACAGTGTTGTATGATTCAAGGGGCAGAAGTTGCAGCTTACTGCTTCAATCACTCTACCAGTAGATCACAACTACGGTCCCTGTATCACTCGACAGTTTGAGAAATAAGTTAACATTCACCTTTACAAAAGATAAGGTGTCATAGCATGATATGCAGTTGTTATTTGGCTTCAAATCTTTACAACTTTTCAGGCTCAGATTTTCTTAGTGAGATCATCAAATTGTAGATAGTCATAGGTACAGTAGGTGAGTGTTGGTCGGGATTTCGCAGACATACTAATCAATTGTCCTCTTCTTTATATTCAGTCTTATTATCCATTGTCTCATTTCTGATATGTCTTAACCTTTGTCATATTGTTTATTCAGTCAAAATGTGGCGAGTGCTTCTGATAAGATTTATCAACAGTATATAAAGAGACGTTAATCAGCATGAAACCATCAAATAGCAGGGAAATACATTCTGTGTCACAGGAGGCAAATAATACAGCGTTGTGGAGATAAATGGGAGACGTAAAAGGAATACAAAGAAACACAATATGAAGTCTAGAAGTACCACAACACGAAGAGCTGTGCAAATGGTGCGTTGAAGATAAGGTAAACATAATTTGGCTATATAGACATACCAATTTCGAAATATAGATTCATTTACTAAGTCTTCGTCTTCTACCGTTTCCATTGGTGTCGCTGCCTCCGGACAATGAAGATTCCATGGACGGCTGCTTTCTTGGAAGAGGACATCAGGAGCTTCTTGCTGGACTTTGAATCCGTCGCTGAATTGGAGGGTTCCAAGGATCCGACGGCGAGGGCGGTTGTGTTGGGGTCGAGCGCAGGTGGCGTATGGCTGTGGGGCAGTCAGATGGGACGGAGACCTGGAAGCTTGTAGTTGAACGATTGTCGGTGGAGTTCGACAACCCGACGGACAGGCAGCTATTAATGCAGCAGTTCTTTGCCACGAAGCTTGAACCGGATGGAGACCCGCTAGTGTTAGTGGTGAAGCTGATGAATCTGCTACGTCATGCACTCCCCACATTGAATGAAGAGTCGGAGTCGCAGTTATTGGCGTCCCAGTCCATCGAGAGTTTCCCAGACCATGTTTCTCAGCAACTACAACTGGTTAACGCTGCACAACACGTGGATATCGGTGAGCTGGTGAAGGTGACCAGGCAACTGCTGAGCACAACGGTAGCAGAAATAGAGCCACCGAAATTGAACAAATGCAAACAGAAAGTGGAAGATTTGCAGTGTGAAGTAGCGGCACTACGAATGAGTGCCAAGAAAGACCTGTGTTTTGAATGTGGCAAAGCAGGACACTGAAGGTGGCACTGCTCAGAAAGAAGGAGGAGAAAAAATTTCAGACCGCATAATGTGTGCTCTTTCTCTTCTGTCAGACCAGAAGTAGTGGGGCTATTGAGAGAAGAAGGCAATATATCCTAAATTCCGAGTGAATGGCCGAAAAGTAGTATGTCTGATAGGTGCAGGGCGGCAGTCGCACTAGTAGATAGGAAGCTATGTCACAGCGTCAGACCGTGTTCATTGACAGTTCAGATTGTAGGTGGACACGTGTTAAGCATCGCCGGCACGTCAAACTGTAGCGTTTTTATTGGCGATCGCGAAGTTACGTCCCCGTTCATTGTTGTGCCCGAGTTACGGCGACAGTACTTGGCGCTGATTTTCTGTGAGACGTCGGTGCGGTAATTAACTCGAAGGATAGTGATTACGTAGTATGGACCTATCAGCATGTATGAAACAAGTGTTACTGCATCGAAAGCACAGAATATGTCTGTGTTAGTTAAAGAATACGACCATCTGTTCACTGGAGATGGAGACTCCTACGGTTATTGTGATAAGGTGAGGCAGGAAATCCCACTAAGCGTTCGCAAATGGTACCATTCACAACACGAGGAGTCCCATGTTATTTGGAAGGCGAATTCGAGCGATAAGTGGAGATGCTACAAGATGATATTACTGAAAAAAGCTGACAGCCCATATAACTCTCCAGTTCTTTTAGTGAAGAAAGCAAACGGGAAGTATAGATTCTGCTGTCCATTTCCTACAGTTAAACAGCATAAAAGAGCTCAAACTGTGCCATGCCAACTGTAGTAGAGACCTTGGATCGTCTTCAAAGCGCGAAGTTGTTTTCAGTGCTCAATCTCCGGTCAGGATATTGGCAGATACCGATAAAACAGAAAGACAGAGATGAGACGGCGTTCATCGTGGGACAAAAAACGTATCGGCTGAAATGCATGCTATTTGGACTAGCAAGCGCACAGTTTACCTTCAGAGGACTGGTGATGCTGTTACGTAGAAACTTGAAGAATGTAGAAGTGTGTTGGGGATCTCGTTATCTACAGTCAAAATGAAAGCGACCATGTGAACCATATCAAAGCCGTATTAAAACGCATCGAAGAGTTTGAACTGCGCATTAACAAAACCAAATCTCAGGTAGCCAAACGCAGTGTTGCGCTGTTTAGTCGTAAAGAAGGCAACGGTGAGATAACCGTTACCGGAGGAAATCTTGTCGATAAAAATCACTACGGCCCTGAATTCCAAGAAGAAACCAAAGCAATTCCTGGGGAGAGCAGCGTTTTATAGTCGATTCGTGAAAAACTTCAATGAGATAGCAGCCCACAACATGAATATTTGTGCAAATGGTGCGTTGAAGATAAAGTATACATAATTTGTCTTTATAGAGATACCAATTTCGAAATATAGATTCATTTACCAAGTCTTCGTCTACTACCGTTTCGATATGACGTTATAATTTTCTAACACTTTGCATTGTATGGAGATTTCATTCAGTGCATGGTTGAAGATTGCTTATGTTATACTTACGTCATGTTTGTTTCTACGTTAGCGTCTGAATTATGTGTTCATATAAAGTATGCAGTCACATATGAAGTAATTGAATAGACAGTGAAGTTATATTTAGGCTGCTTGTCTACCTAAATCCATTATCCTTACATAATCTTCTATCAAAGTAGGGAAGACAAAATGTGGTTAGAATGGTGTGCGACATTAACTATAAAGTTATTGTTAGTTTATCTAACCAATGTTATACATTGTATTATAGGTGATATGCTCCAGAATTCGAAACCTACTGACCAAAACTTCCACTCTGTGTTCCATAAAACTGCTTTGTTTCGATTTTTATTTTACTCCTTAATCTTTTATTGTGGCGAAATAGTATCATTGTATTTTCTCATTCAGTTTGCAGTTTGTAATGTTAGGGCGTGTTAAAGCCGAAGTTAGTATACGCACTGTTTTGAATACGATTCTTTTAAATTGATTCATGAAAGTCCCACTGTGGTTGTATTGTATTTTAGTTTGAAATGTGGCTGCCTGAGTCCTTACAATTTGAAATGGACTTCATAAATCTTTACAAGTTACATACCATTATTATTGGACAACGAATCTATCTGTTACATTCTTTCTTACTCTATTCAGCAGAAAATCAAATCATGCATATGTTGTGCTTAAGTGTTTTGTTCATAAGCAGAATTCTAGGAGTGGTTACTCAAATGTCCTTCAAAGAGGATGCGAGTAACAGTTTCATCCATTAAGAGTGAGCAACTGAGTTTGGATATTAGATCGTGTTGCCAACTTCTAAGGGTTCTCAAGAATATTATGGTCTTAGTGATGAGTAACGGAAAGAACGTTAAAGACTTTTCTTGATTGTTGATAGAATTTCGAAACAACTAACAGCTGGGAAAACTGACAAACGATCATGAAGATTCAGTTGTACTTATATCGACTAAGTTACTCCTAGTTCATTAAAATTAGAAGTTAGCAAAATGTTATTTTATCACAAAAAGTAAAAACACACAGTGGTTTATCAACCTCTTTAAAAAAAGATGCGTTTAAAAGAAAGCTTACAGGTATAGTCTTTGAACTAAAACCAGGATGACTTTTTAAGAAGAATGTAATCCAAGGAATTAGAATTTTTGTCTGCTAGGAGTGGTGAATTATCTGGACACTGGTACCAGACCATTCTTTTAGAGGACGTTTTCTGCCTGGGCAGGGGTGACAGTTTGTTAATTAGATTTATTCCTGTTAATTATGATTGACTAATATACTACCAGTTGGTCTTAGTGTAAACTCACCACATCAGGATAGATCCATGTTTTTATGCGATTGTGTTCTCTGATCTGGGCCATTTGATTGCGATGCTGTCATTGTCTTTCTAGACGTCTTGAGTGCAAACTTCAGTATGAAGTGAATTCATTTGTATTTTCCATGAATGATATAACTGTATCTTCTAACAAACTTTGTAGTGGTTAGTTGTTGATTCGCACTAGTCTTAATCGTTTTCTTTGACCTAGAATTTAACTTTTTTGTCGTGTGACTTGTCTTCCATTAGCTGATCCGTTTATCAAGTGACTGACTAGTTAACAAAGAATATGCATTTCAATAGAAAAAAGGATTTTTTGATACTAACCACCTGATCTGTTTGCGTCAGTGTATCGAACTGTTGATGACTTTAACTATTTATCCACGCTGGTATATATATATGTATATATATATATATATGCCGGGTCGCTAATAATGTGTCTGGTAGCTGAGTCATCTGAATATCAAACTTCTAGGAATTTTATGGCGTTTCCGTTGTTTAAAATTTACTGGTATTGTTCGTGTCTTTTGCTACTGGACATTTTGATGTGCATAATATTGAGTAGTGAAATTATTGTGTTGGCCTGTTTAGGATATCTACTCTGAATAGTTCTAGTATTCTGGCCATTATTTGGAAACATTCTTTATGTTATTAGATAGTTGGAGGCAATCGGCTGGAAACCTTGGACCTAGGTTTCGTGCTAGTTGGCGCTCGTCAGCAAGGCGTATCTGCAACCTTGAAGAAACTCATGTCCCTTCTGAGATTCGAACCCGCGTCACCCAGTGCTGCAGTCAGAGACGTTACCACTGAGCTATTCGGGCTCGCGATTGACCTCCTGTAGGACTGTAGTGGGTATTTCTTCATGTATAATAGGATGAATTTTCTGTTCTGTTGTTCAATTCCCTTTCATGTATTCCCAATAATAACCAATTAAATATTTTTATGTCACACATTATTATTTGCCTTATTTTACCTAAGTATCATCTCTTTTAGTTCAAGGGACAAATAAAGTGTGCTTAAGCCTTCAGTCAGTTCAGAATGTTATCAAAATTAACAAATCTGTACTGTAGTGCGTATACTCTGTGGATATTCTAAATTAATTTTCTTTGCTAAACCTTGATGTTTTGTCTTTGTTTTCATTCTTATATAAATCGTAAAGTTACAAGTTCACTTTTTTAGATACAGTTTTATTTAATTCTGACTGGAATTCATTTTAAAACCATCCACAGGCGACTCTTCAATACACACTGATTAAACCATTTACGTCTTTCACTTCTATGATTCTGATGGCTACAAAGAAGTATACTGTGGGTGATTTCGGGTAAGTTGTAGAAGTTATAAAAATACATGTGGGTTAATAATTGGTTGCATATATAATGCTTCAACCCTAAACATTGGTCGAAAAATGTATCGCCAAAATTTCGGTGGCAGTATTCTACACAGACTACATACATATAAAGAGATTAATTTCTGAAGGGAAATAACCTCTTAAGATGATAGAATGCGTTGCTGATGAACATCGGTTTGTACCAAATTTTGATCCAAATGGAAAATAAGAAAGGAAGTAATAAAACTATAAACACTGCCTACTGATTTTAGAAACTTGTTGATAGCATCCTAACAATAACAGTTTAATGAGAAATTGATTGTAAAGTTCTTGTGATATACTTTTCTGTTTGCACCTGGATTCATCGCATTTAATTGATTTTTCTTTGCACATTATTGTTCTCAGTTTTCGGCTTGTAAATGTTCATCAAGTAGCATACGGTCTATGTGATAAATAATGATGGTTGATGCAATAAACGTTGGGTTGCTAATAACTAACAAATTAATGTGGAACTCAGCACACTAGTGTATCAGTTCAAGTTGTCACTCTTCAAAAAGCCCTGAGACAATAGTGAGAGTAGGGAACACTTTTAGAATATACATCTGCACCTTTGTAAACAGCAAAATATCCCCATGCATTAAGTTTTACCGTCACAAGAACTATGCGCACATACCAAAAGTCAAAGGTTTCATGAATTTGCACCGTGTTCTGAATTGACTGCTTTCCAACTTTGTTCTACTTCCATTAACATTGTTCGTCTACGCAAGAGGTGGTTAGACGTACATCTTACATGTAATAGCTAACTCAGTCAGTGAAAAGTCACAATGTCGTCGGTCGACTTGGCTTCCTTATCTAACCCTCCACTTCTCATCTCATTAGTTATCATATGGTTCCACTTAACACAAGCAATTAAAAACAGGTATTTTTGATCAAAACCTTCCAGTCTTCTCGTAAAGTTCGCCTAAACAAACTACTAAACATCACACACACATCCTCTGATGAGCAGCCTTCTCGAAGACGACGCAAATGCAAATAAGCTTTCCGTAACCATCTGTAGATTTCGTCAGCTGTTAGTTCAGTATAACCAATGTAGCTTTCCAAATAAGTGATGTGGTGAACATGCTCAACCGTTTTCACCACCTGTGTTTATAGTAGGTGTTGCTGTACGTCTTTACCGTAGTGTCTTCCTACATTGGGCAGGTGCTAATCGCATGCGAAACATACCCAAATCTCTGCTTAATTTGTTTCAGAGAATGCTTTTCGATGTATACACCTAGAACGACAATACAATGTCATCCACCCACTCTAAATCATCGAGACTGATTTTTGATAAGTCTGTTCTTGAAAAGTTACACAGTGTCATGTACATAAATATGTCTATAAGAATGATGACATTGGGCATACTTCACAGACATCAGTAGTTATCGTCACTTCAGGCTGTCCGAACATTTCGGTATTCCATTCATAGTCGAACATCTATATACCTCTCAATGCCATGTATGTTTCAAGATAGGTGGCAAGTGTTAGATGCTGCCTATTATGTGTGTACCAGGATCTCTGGAAAGGTCAATGCACTCTGAGTCTGAAACATAATTGGCTTCTTTCTAACCTTACTTAATCTCTACATAATCATGGTTCTTGCAATCCTAAATGCTATATTTAGATTGTTTTCCTTGCTTAATGCTTGTTATTACAGGATATCATTCTGGGAAAGTCCTTTGCATAGCCGCATCAATCCATGAGGTCTTCGATATTTGGTTTGAGTCACGTAGTGAGCTGTAGAATGTCTATCTGGTTAGGATCCTGAAGATGGTTAGAACCAATGGCTTGAAACTGTTGGAAATACCGCTCAAAATTGTTGTCAGTGCTGCAGATGCGTTCACTCTTTTTGATCTTGCATTTTTATTAAACCCTCAACTTTTTCGAGTTACTATTTCTCCTAGCACTTCAGCTTAGAATAGTTCTTTTGAAGTTCTTCTCTCTCTTTCTTCTTTACCTTTGAGGGCTACATGAAGTGTAGCATTTCGAACTATTGCACTTGTGTGCAAAGTAAAATTTGTGGCGAAATTCAGTCAATCATGAAATAGTTGTACTTATTTAAAGACTCCAATAATTCAAAGTAAGAGAATAAGTTTTTCATTAATTTTCAATTGCTTAAATTTGGTAAATAACCATGTTGATAGCTACTAGCAGTCACTATGTCTGCTTTTTGCTAATTGACTGTTAACGTTCGTAATCAAGACAAAATCTGTCCCCCTTCATTCACAGATATTATTATATTTCTGAGTTCAATACAGGGGTTCAGGGCCTAATGTCCATTCCACGCGGCTCTCTGCTACTAATTTCACCTGGCTGTACGACTGCCCACAAGCTTTCGTTACCTCTTTACATTATCTTCTCCATATTGTTCTCTGACAATAGTGAGGATTCCGAGTTAATTACAGAGATTCGCACCGTACCTTTCGCTCTAAATTTATACAGTACAAGTGTTACTTTCATATTGGATAAATTACAGGGTGTGGTTCTACTGCCTCATGGATTTATGTTTTTGTCATTTGAATTCATTACAACGCGTAATTTCAGCATATAGTTTTTATTATCTTTTTTATCTTCAGTGTCGTTTTCTGTTTTCCCTTAGCATCACTTCAGGTTACCTGTACTTATTTCTCATCAACAATATTACAGTAACTCTTGCTGTATATGGCTTACTATTATTTTATTTTGCAACTCGAGAGCAATTGAAACCATTTTCCCCATTGCTCAAATTCGCTACAATCAAATCAATCATCTTTTTTAGTTTTTGGCAAGGTATGTGACATGTGTTTCATCTTTACACTTTAACTGATAATGTGGAATAATTATTGTCATAATTAAATTTTTGTAAGCAGATAACATAGCATAGTTAAAATTCAAACCTGTAGTTGAGCATATAGTGTGAAAATGAATCTTGTGTGAAACGAATTTAAAAGCCTTCCATCTGCTAACGAAGTCTTTGTCAACATTAATGTCTGTAAAAAGTTTGAGCATTGTGGCACCATTTTGAAATATGTAACAAACAAACCAGTGTTTTGATCTGCCTTTGCACAATTTTAAATTCTGCTTTGTGTAATTGACTCCATACATTCACTGTTATCATTTTATTAGGAGGTGAGTCATATGTCGAAAAACTTAGTCGTAATCACAAAATCGAAAGGGTATACACGAATTTCCAGCGCTTATCACTGGACCCTACTTGTTTTATTTTTACCACATGTATGTCTACTGGTATCTTCACTGTCGTCAGCCGTTTACTGTTGATATAAATTTCAATACATCCGTATCCAGGAACGCTGGGCAGAGCACTTCGAGAAACAGTTTAGCTGACAACCAGCTTCAATGTCTGCTGTCCGTAAGCAACTCCAAGTGTTAAAACGCCATAAGGCGCCCGGTCCAGACAATTTACCCCCAGCTCTTTTTAAAAATGATGGCGAAATTCTCACAATGGCCTTAACTGGGCTGTTCAGGAAGGTATGGGGTTAGACTGGGTTGCCCGATCTCTCCATTTCTCTTTAACTTTGCCATCGATGACATTCTGGAGTCAGCTCTGAAAGATGTTAGTGGTGGTGGTGGTGGTGGTGTAGATCTGCTTTCTGAAGAAAGACTTCTCCACCTCGAGTATGCAGACGATATCGTCTTACTGTGCGATAGCACGCAGGCTACCCAATCGCACTTAAACAGTTGACGATCAGTGTCTGTAAATATGGTATGTGCTTTGCACAGTCTGAGTGCAGAGTTCTGTTACTAGATTGGCAGGAGCCTGTACTTGCACTCACTCTTGCGGGTGAACCACTTGAAGTTGTTGATAAGTGAGGGGTGATGGATGAGATTTCCAACCGTATAATGAAGGCTAGCGTGGCATACATCAACTTAAGCCACCTCTGGCGCTGTCGCGACGTTAGCCTGGCTGTCAAAGGTCGGGTATACAATGCTTCGGTGCGGGCTGTCTTGCTCTACGCCTGTGAAACCTGGCCTGTCCGAGCTGAGGATGTGCGGCGACTCTGCGTGTTCGATCATCGCTTTCTCCGCAGGATTGCTTGCGTTCGATGACATCATCGCGTGAGTAATTCTGAGGTTCGGCGGCGTGTGTTTGAACACAGTGGAGATCACCATTCATTGAGTGTCGTCATCTGGAAACACCGGCTTCGGTGGCTTGGGCATGTATTGTGAGTGTCATCCCAGAGGCTTCCGTACAGATCTCTGTTCGCTAGCCCTGGGGCGGGATGGAAAAGGCGGAGGGGTGGTCAGTCCATGACGCGGCGTCGTGGGATGAAGGATATTTGTGCTAGATTAGCATCGGTTGGTGCGTCATGACTCCCTGGTTAGGGTCCGAGAGACAGCTCGAATCGACGGCTCGAAACGTTATCGGATATGGCCAAGAATCGTAATCAATGGCGAACGTGTTGCGATTTCCTTCTTTCTTCCCTTCCTGATGATAGTTGACGAAAACTGCTTGAACTTGTTAAACATGACTGTTTTCCTTCCAGATGAGGTTCTTTATCCGTTCTTTACTTAAATTTTCACTTTTAATCTATGTTGTTTTATTATTATTGTGTGGTGCATCTTTCTTGATGCCATACAGAACCAAGTTTTTTCTGCGTTTAAATAAATAAATAATTATACTTCCGTATCCTTAAGTTAGCTCTTCTGTATGGGTCAGCTATTTGCCGCGTCATGGAAAGTATTTCCAACAAGCTGCAGACTTTTATCATGAGCTACCTTTGCTCCACAATAACGACTAAATGGCCAAGAAGAAGAAACTGTGGGAATGACCTGATTAAGGACTTATCGCTTAGAGAATATGTTAAAAAATGGGGGTGGGTTGGACGCACATTAAAGAAACCGTTATATGACGTTGCATGCCCAGACCCTCGGGTTGAACCCGAATGAGAAACAACGATTTAAGCATCTGAAGGTGATATGAAGGAGAACGAATGAGAAGGAAATGAAAGCTCGCAGGCAATCCTGGGGCCAGATAAAGAGAACTGCAGAGAACAGAAAAAAATGGAGACCTGTTCTTGTAGCCCTATGTTTCACCCCGAGGGCAAGGGAATAATAATAATCCCCAAACCATATGACCCTGTTTGTCGCATAACACTTTCTAACTACCTGACCAGTTTGCCTACAAGTAGAGCTGCACCAACTACACATCAACCTAGGGAAAACGAAAATATTCAGAACTGCTATGATTAACAAAATTGTACAGGAGAAAGAACTGAACCAGGGACAGCCGTCAGGAGCTGCAGCATCTGGGAGGTTAAAAAAGTGAAAGCGCCTTTACTACTGACATCGATTTTAAGTCATATTACCAAAAGTTTGAAACCCATTCACTCTTAACATCTTAGGGATGCCGACCCGACAAGCAGCCTATGACTCACTACGCGACTCAAACAAACTATCAAAGACCTCATTGACTTGTATCAGAATTTGGTTTGATCAATCCCGGAGCTTTTCTAACTCAATGCTATATGGGCTAACATTGCCTGTCAAGCAAGGCGATGGCTCGGGATGCTCAACATGTGTCCTATACATCTCAATTCAACTTCACCACCTCATTGATTGGCTTGTCCTTCTTACTTAATACTACGCCCAAGCCCAATATTACCTACCATATGAGACTACTTCACACAAGAGATAGGACGCAAACATATGTGATCAACGACAACTATTGTCTTCAGGTTTTACACTCTCATCGGGCATGTGTCTCAGCCATAAAGGAGGACAGAGCGGATTTCTGCACAGTGCATACATCCCTTGATCGGTAGGCGGATATCACACCTACGCTAGAGATGAGTTGAGTGGGGAAACATCACACGAGCATTCTGCATCGATGCTGAGGTGTTGTCACCAATCAGCTCGTTGGGGCTGATTCAACTGCTCAAATAGGTGAAGCGGTCAACACGTTCTACCACTTAACTTCTATCTTTAAGCCATGAGTCGGCGTAGATCAGTCCAACAGCTCTATCTTACATCTGCCAGGGGCGAATACCATTCCGAAGACTCGAAGATTTCTGCTCAATTTGTTGGGAGGACTGCATTTTGTCAGGGTCTTCACCTAGGGGGAAAATGTCATCCACATACTCTATGTCGATGAAACTGTTCCTTGTTACATTACTTTGATTGTTAACTAGTTAGGCTTTATGCCTGAAATATTTTAATTGGCAAAGAGATCACTGAGATAGTAAAACGCGTCGACTGATGCACTGTATTCTAAGTCGAGGCTAGTATTGCATTCCCCAACTTGCGTTATCTCTGTTGTTGGTATGACATCTGACTATGCATTGAAGGAGGTGTGCTGTGCGACATTTTCCTCTAAGCTTCTCTACACCTGTGAAACATGGTTGTTGAATTGGCCAGCCGTCAATGACAATAAGTATCTCTATTGTGGATCTTGCTTTATCTAGCATAATGTATTAATAGTATTATTCATTCTCTAAGGTGGGAAGGAAAATAAGACATCAATGGCACATCTTTATTTCCTCGCATTTTCTGCTATCACTCTCACCGTTGCGTTCATTATAGGAGTGTAGCATTTGCAACTGTAGCTTTCCTACCTTTCGAATTGAATCTCGCTTTCGTGTTTTTGAGAGTGATTGGCTCCTAATTCGTAAGGATCTTTGGTGCTGTTGCTAACATGCTGATTGTCACGTCCTCGTGTTTTCGTGGATGACCTGACTGGTTTATTGTCTCTCAAGTTAACGACGTGGAGAATCCACTTATATTCACCCTGCTTCCAGGGATTCATAACACATCTCTTCCATATCTTTTCATGTATTTCTTAAGCATACTATGCAGGGGACATGGAGAATAATTTAATTTTTCTTGTGCTTTGTAGCTTCCGTAGCTTTGGTAGTTGTTCTTATGGGATAGAGTTTCTCGCCTCACTACCAAATTTCCCCCTTTTACGTGCTTGTGAGAAGCTAGTAAAGTAGTTGAATTTGGTGTATATCACGCGGACTTTAATAATGAGGTTAAGCTTAGAGTATTACATAATGTACCTCGGGTTACCAGGTACATCGAATGAGATGTCTAAGACCGGTGTTCCACACACAGTGCATGCTGGGTTGGGATAGTGTGTAAATAAGCGGTTGACAAGGAGCAGTTTTACTACCACTCTGCGACTGTCGCAATTTATTACTTTATTCGGTGTCATTTCACGTACCATTCGAACTCCTTGTTCAATGATTTTTAATCTGAATTCCCTATCTAATTTTCCTTGATATCAAAAATGCAAACAAACTTACTTCCCGTATGCTTAATTACTGAGTGTTTTCACTTTTACTCAAACAGTTTTTGACCTATGTTCTTTCTTCTTTTTTCAGATGTATTATTTAGCATATTGGAATGGAGCCATGTTATAACTACAACCAATGGATATTCAGCTACAATAATTGCTGGTATTTACAAGAATTTACTGATATGCGTTGAATTGGTTATTGTTGCCATCGCTCTACGCTATGCATTCCCCTACAGTATTTATGTATTGCAGTAAGTTAAAACATTCGATAACAAGTGGACGTTTTAACAGCTTTTAGCAGTAGTTTTCAAACTTAGTTTATTGACTTAGCTGAACTCACCCATATATGTATATATTGGTTTTAAAAAATTAGGTATTATTGTTAATCAACAGAAAATAATGTGTCTGATACTCTAGTGCACAAATTTGAACTTGATTTCTAAATAACATTATTTGACTGTATACTGGAATTGAATACTGCTCCCTATAGTCTACTATGCTGTTTCGTTGACTTTGTTTCTAATGGCGTGTCAGTTCGTTGCTTGATCGTATATGTTTATCATTACTCCTGTGGTTCGGAAGTAGTTTTACATCATATGCGCATACATAAAATTTAGATTTCCTTGTTTTCTTGTCCAGCTGCTGCAGCCTGTCATCGAGAAACCGGACTGATCCGTATTATTTTGTATTTTCCCCGGCCGATAACTGCTAATTTGTCATGGTGGTCCGGCATGAATACCGCAGTGACCCAACAAGTTAAACTGGCTGGGACTCATGTTCCTGCGGGTCGTACCATGTCAGGAAGGTTGTTCGGATAGCGGTTAGACTAAAAGCAGTTACGATGGGGTATATGGGCTCCAGAATCCAATCGTATCAAATGGCGTATGAACATATATTGGTCAATGGCGACCATGGGAACGTAGCTCCTGACGCTGCTTCTCTGCCTTGTGGATGAGATTCCAAGTCAAAGGCTTGGGGGTGGTCCCTTACGAAAATCACCTGCTTCGGTTTGGGCACCTGGGTAGTATCTCAGCCGTCACACAATAAATGAAATAAAGCAACAAAATATCAGTGGAACTTATCGCGCGCTCGTAACAATGCTTTCAAGCAATAATGATGTCTCAAGTAACAGATCTCTTTCCAACCCTACTTTTATTTTTATACGTAGACTCCTGTATTTTGCCTTTGCTAACCTTGAGGTCTTCACCTTGGACAGCCTTTCACCTATGTCTGAATTCCCAGCCTATCTGTGCCGTTACGAAATGTTAGTGAGTAGCCTTCAAAATGGTTGTCCCCAATGCGACACCTAATACAGGTATGCTGAAATCTATTTCCGGCACCTGCAAATCGGGTAACAGGCAGGGTTTCTAAGAACATTGGAAGGCCTCGCTATCAATGTCTGCTGCATTACTCGACTGGATCCCCATTAACAGTCGTTTATGCGCTGTGAAGCTGGAAGGTTATACGGGAGTAAGGAGTGGTAGGCCAAATGGGTGGTGTCTGTTATTTGTCTCCGGCTATGCACCGACGGTTTGCAGCCCGAATGCAATTAATGATGAGTTCTACTATCAACCGAGCGATCTCTTGAAAAAGGCGGGTCAGAAGGATATCGTGGTGCTAGTTGGTGACTTAAATGTGCAGGTTGGGCGTCTAAGCTCATAGGAGAATCGTGTGGGTGGTCAGTGCAGTTGACATGGTCGCGGGTCAGATAACGGGGACCGCCTACTATAACTTTGCGCAGATCACAACCCATTTCTAGCCAGCACCAACTTCCGGCACAGCCGTCGCCGTGGCGCTGCCGGGCGTACTTCTTCCGCGAATCAAACTTGGACTCAGATTGATCATATTGCCGTCAGTTTCCGGTGGCGAGGATGCATGCAAGACTGTCGCCCCTTCTGGAGCACATGCCTGGACTCCAATCATGCGTTAGTGTGTGCCAAGTTCGTCTTGCGATTTGGTGGGGTTCATAAAAGGCGTCGTCTAAACGTTGATGTGAGCTAACTAGTAACACCTGCTACTTGTTTGAAATATCAGAATGAGTTACAATCAATGCTTGCCAGCAACCCTCCAAGTAGTATAGATGAACATTGACTTTATCTGCAAGACGCCATACAAATGGCAAGTGTATCCGCTTGCGGCTTGAAAGAATGCTTCGCCAAAACTCACTGGGTTTCTGTGAGTTCCTTAAAACTCCTGGGTGAACGCCGGTCCATTCCGGCTGGCAGCGAGTCCAGCAATAAGCGAAAGGTGCTTACGCGCAAGATTAGACAGAGTTTACGTAAGGACCACGAAGCCTGGTGGTCAGAACGTTCGTGTGTGATGGAGTCAGTTGTTGCATCTGCAACAGTCGGAAGCTGTTCCAGCTCATCCGAGCCACCGGCAGCAAGAAACAAGAGGTGTCAGCGAGGCGGTCTGAGGCAGATGGCACGCCCATTACCAGCATGAAAACACGCCTGAAACGTTGGGCAGAGCACTTCGAGAAACAGTTTAGCTGGCCACCAGCTTCAATGTCTGCTGTCATTAGCCCCAGTGCTCCTTGGTCGGTTAATACCGACCCACCCACCGAAGCGGAGGTCCGTAAGCAACTCCAAGTGTTAAAACGCCATAAGGCGCCCGGCCCAGACAATTTACCCCCGGCTCTTTTTAAAAATGGTGGCGAGACTCTCACAATGGCCTTAACTGGGTTGTTCAGGAAGGTATGGGAGACAGAGAGTGTACCATCAATGTGGAACGAAGCCATTATCGTCCCCATCTTTAAAAAGGGTTGACGTAATTCGTGTGACAATCATAGGGGTATCAGTCTGCTACTAGTCGTGTCTAAAATGTTGGCTGCTGTCTTGCTCCACAGGCTGTGCAAAACACATGAAGGATTGATTCGCGAAAAGCAGGCTGGGTTTCGTTCAGGTCGTGGATGCATTGATCATGTGTTCACCCTTCGTCAGTTGTTGCAACATAGCCACACGTACTGCAGGCCAACGATCGTTGTGTTTCTTGATATTGGGGCTGCCTTCGATTCGTTGGACAGAACTGTGCTCTGGAATTGTCTTGTTAGAGAGGGGTGTACCTGAGAACTTTGTTAACAGCTTGAAAGCCCTATGCAGAAACACCTCAAGTAGAGTTATGGCATGCAAGCAACTATCATCACTGTTCCCAACCAACAGTGGGGTTAGACAGGGTTGCCCGATCTCTCCATTTCTCTTTAACTTTGCCATCGATGACATTCTGGAGTCAGCTCTGAAAGATGTTAGTGGTGGTGGTGGTGGTGGTGTAGATCTGCTTTCTGAAGAAAGACTTCTCCACCTCGAGTATGCAGACGATATCGTCTTACTGTGCGATAGCACGCAGGCTACCCAATCGCACTTAAACAGTTGACGATCAGTGTCTGTAAATATGGTATGTGCTTTGCACAGTCTGAGTGCAGAGTTCTGTTACTAGATTGGCAGGAGCCTGTACTTGCACTCACTCTTGCGGGTGAACCACTTGAAGTTGTTGATAAGTGAGGGGTGATGGATGAGATTTCCAACCGTATAATGAAGGCTAGCGTGGCATACATCAACTTGAGCCATCTCTGGCGCGACGTTAGGTTAGCTATCAAAGGTCGGGTATACAATGCTTCGGTGCGGGCTGTCTTGCTCTACGCCTGTGAAACCTGGCCTGTCCGAGCTGAGGATGTGCGGCGACTCTGCGTGTTCGATCATCGCTTTCTCCGCAGGATTGCTTGCGTTCGATGACATCATCGCGTGAGTAATTCTGAGGTTCGGCGGCGTGTGTTTGAACACAGTGGAGATCACCATTCATTGAGTGTCGTCATCTGGAAACACCGGCTTCGGTGGCTTGGGCATGTACTGTGAGTGTCATCCCAGAGGCTTCCGTACAGATCTCTGTTCGCTAGCCCTGGGGCGGGATGGAAAAGGCGGAGGGGTGGTCAGTCCATGACGCGGCGTCGTGGGATGAAGGATATTTGTGCTAGATTAGCATCGGTTGGTGCGTCACGACTCCCTGGTTAGGGTCCGAGAGACAGCTCGAATCGATGGCTCGAAACGTTATCGGATATGGCCAAGAATCGTAATCAATGGCGAACGTGTTGCGATTTCCTTCTTTCTTCCCTTCCTGATGATAGTTGACGAAAACTGCTTGAACTTGTTAAACATGACTGTTTTCCTTCCAGATGAGGTTCTTTATCCGTTCTTTACTTAAATTTTCACTTTTAATCTATGTTGTTTTATTACTATTGTGTGGTGCATCTTTCTTGGTGCCATATTGTACCAAGTTATTCTGCGTTCAAACAATAATAATAAGTTTGCATTTCTAAGATTTTATTACTGATTCTGCCGAAGCTTACTTATTCGTAACAGAATGAAGTCCACCGAGTTTATTGCTGATCCAACGTTTCTAGTTGTCCTTTGACAATGGACGTTCAACGGGTTTTGAAACCGCTTTCTTAGCCTACCAGGGTTATGCCACCGAAAAAGTATTACCGGTTTTGATACGGCGTGTGTGGCATAAACATGCGTGTTGAGTAAAGTAAATTGTTTTCATTATGGAATGGAAAAATATTTGTGAATTTTGACAAAGCGACACATAATGTACTTTTCTAACGTGGATGTTATTACTTTGAAAAATAAAACGTTTCCAAACCTCTGGTTCCATCACACTTCATATTTAAAACTGAGGTAGATTACACCTCATGAACGCACGCCGTTCACTAACAATTGAGTTATTTTTAATCTTACATTCTTACGTGTTTTTTTATCTTTGTAGTCATCCACCTCGCCTTGTATTTGATGTTCCTTCGAACGATTCGAACTGGCTGAATGACGATTTTATGTTTACTACAAAGCCATCAGTTGATTTCAGAGCAGCAAATGATTCAACTAGAATAGACTTGAACAAAGGTGATTCACGTTTAACACCAGCAACATTTGTTAGCTATGCACCGTCAGCAGGATATGGTGAACCACTACCCTGGGATATCGTTGACTGGCAATTGAATAATGATGGATTTGAAAAGTTATGGAGTAGTCAAAACTCAAATGTAATTCCAAGTATATCTGCGAGTATCAAAGCAACTATCGACCCTACAGATATACTTGTTGATGCTGTTCATAATTTCCATCCTAATTATCGTCATTATACTCAGGTAATCTTTCATCGGATTATGCTACCATCCTGTGCTTGCATATGCCGAAACAGAGAATCAATAATGAAATGTGATAAACACTCGGACTTCTAATTCCTAATGATTAGATTGTTTTAGAAACATTGTCAAAAGTTGTCTTGCGACCCAGCTACTCAGTGCAAGATTTTTAATCTTCTAAACTAAATTGAGATGAATCACAATAATCGCTGGTTTCTTAGAGTGACTTCGAAACCACCTGTTTCGACACTGCCTACTTTTGTTTGGGTTACCGGATTGTATTCTCATGTCTTACAAAAACATTTTGTGTGCCATTTAATTATTTCTAATAATTTAGAATTGATTTAGCCAAAAAGTTAAGGAAGTACACAGTGGTGATTGTACTGTTGGACAAGCTACCATCTACTCATGTCTTCAAATTCCATTAAGAAATACTCTGGATCTCTAGGCCCAATACATTAATTGTGTTTGCAAGATATACAACGTGGATGAGTTGTCGTATATTATTTATTAATTTTTTTCGAAGGGATTAATGTAACTGTTGATCTTGTAGCTTATTGTTGTAATAGCATGATGTTTCAACTGAAGGAAACAGTAACGTCAAGTGCGTTAATCACTGGATTAACCATAATAGATAAACTATCTCTGCTTTTACCAGGCTAGAAAGCTCACTGCGCCACTGACTAGCACAAATAAGTGGAATATGTTATTCCCTACTTATATGTAGTCGCTGAACATTATGTTTTGCTTCTTTTTCTACAGACACAGATGGATGAAGACAGTTGAAGATGCACGACAGTTCTCCAGATAAAGTACAAATCATTTGACTTCTGCAGAATACATTCTACCAAGAGGATAATTTAATATGTACATCAATTAGTCACTCAAGTATTGAATGCTTTTTTCAATGATATATTGACCATTCAAATACGCTGGAGTCTTTCTATGCCTTATTCCTAAAAGTGCTTATTTTGTTTTCCTTCTTTAAATGAGTGGAAGCATTCTCAGACATGATATTCGATTCCAATAATCAATTGCAAACTTCTCGTTCCTTGGTTTGCTTCCATTGACCTTGAAATTTTATCTTGTCTTGATTGAATATGTAAATATATTTTCAGTGGATGGAGATTAATACCTGCTGTTGTGGTTTGCTGGTGTTTCAGTTATTTAAGTGATATTTTTGGCACAATGCTATACAGCATAGTGGTGTTTTCGGTTAAGTTCTGTCTCCGGCAGAATAGGACCATAATGAACAGAAATCTACGGTTTAAGCAATAATTAAGTAGAGAAACACGAGGAACTGGGACGTCATAAAAAGTGACTGCATCACCACTGTTGAGAACGGTTTTGAGCCACATCACTGATGGTCTCCAGCTATTGATCATTGGAATCTCGAGAGCCCCACAAGGTAGTATGAACCTTCCCGCGTACCGCCAGCAAACAGTCAAATACTTCATGGATTGATGCCATGTTTTGATTTGACCACTTATAAATCTTTCCCAACCTAATCCCATGCCATCTTACATTGCACAAGAAGGAATGCCACCTCTAGGTAGGAAAGTACGGCAATAGTTAGACGCTAGTAAGTATCTGCATATTCCAGAGTCTGTTGGAGCGTGATGAAATGAGGAATTCCCGACCGATGCCTGCTACCTTGACATGATGGCCGAGCTTGCAGACAGAAGACATCTGCGCCGGGTTACACGAGACAGTTGTTTGAGCTCATCAAAGAAACTGGTTGTGAGAGACAAATGATGAGCGAGACTAACTGTGAGGAGAACGTCGTCTTAACTATCTCTCAAGATAGAAGACTGGCCTACCGTCAAGCTCAGTTCGATCAACATCCGAAACCTAACTGAGAGGTATTTAGACGCCGGGCCTCCAAATAAAAGTGAGCTTGGAAAAGCTGTTTTTAATCTGAAAATATGCAAGGCAGCTGAACCTGATGCGACGACTTTTCATAGATTTTTAACAATGGTGGTGACGAAATTTTATCTGGGTTAACTAAGATAATCGGTAATGTTTGGTACAGGTGAAAATCACTGATTATCCCGGTTATAAGAAGAGACAAGCCTTCCTGTGATAATCATATAAGGTTGACTTGACTACCATACAGTCTGAACCTCCAGGTTAGAAACGAACCCTGAAAAGTCAGGTGGAATTTAGTCCGGGAATAGTGTCACTCACCATATTTGACTGTCTGTCTGAATAATAACAGAGCTTTTCAGGTTGCAATACACAGAGGTAGACAAACGATAGAAAAGCAGTTATTCAAAGGAATAGATAAAAAATGAATGCATCCGCGCCACTGACAACGATTACAAGCTATGTCACAAATACCCTCAAGGCATTCATTCTTAACATCTTCAGGATGCTGACCCGACAAGCAGCCTATGGCTCACTACGCGACTCTTACATCTGCCAGGGGCGAATACCATTCCAAAGACTCGAAGATTTCTGCTCAAGTTGTTGGGAGGACTGCATTTTGTCAGAGTCTTCACCTAGGAGGAAAATGTCATCCACATACTCTATGTCGATGAAACTGTTCCTTGTTACATTACTTTGACCGTTAACTAGTTAAGCTTTATGTCTGAAATATGTTAAGTGGCAAAGAGATCACTGAGATAGTAAAACGCGTCGACTGATGCACTGTATTCTAAGTCGAGGCTAGTATTGCATTCCCCAACTTGCGTTATCTCTGTTGTTGGTATGACATCTGACTATGCATTGAAGGAGGTCTGCTGGCTGGATGGCTGGATTCAACAGGGAACTTAGCACCGAAGTGCAGCAGTTCGAGTTGCCACGTTCCAAAGAGCACACAAAAGTAGACAAGAAGATGAGTGAAGGGAATCAATAGAGTTTTGACAAGTATAAGAGTGAAACAGAATGAGTAATGGTAGAAAGGAATATGAAATGTTACAGAGACTGAATACATCTGCGCCACTGACAACGGTTTTGGGACATGTCACCTAGTGTCTCCAGCTACTGATTCTTAGAGTCCCGAGGGCCCCAACACGGAAGTCTGCATCTCCCTACCTGGCTCAGTTTGACTGTCAAGGATTTCATGGATTGATGCCATGTTTTTGTTTGGCCACCACTTACTCTTTTCCAACCTGCACCTATATCAGCTAGTAATGCCCGTCGGGGGAGGCGATGGGTAGGCGTGAGCAGCACGTGACCTAGCCATCTCAGTCTATGTAACTTTATAGCCTCGTCGATTGATTTTCCCTCTTTGCCCAACACTCTACGCCTAACGTCAACATTACTTGCCTTATTATACCACCTAACGCGAGAAAGAGATCGTAAACATCTGTGGTCAAAAACAGACAATCTCTTCATGTCTTCAACTCGTATTGGTCATGTTTCAGAGCCATAGAGAAAGACGGAGCGAAATACTGAGCAGTATACACGTCCCTTGGTTGATAGCCGGATGTCACGCCTACGCCAGAGATGGCGTAAGTTAGCGAAAGCAACTCGAGCTTTTTGGATCCGTGCTGAGATTTCGTCGTCAATCAATCCGTTGGTGCTGATACAACTTCCCAAATAGGTGAAGTGGTCAACATGTTCTATCACTTCATTCTCTATCACTAAGCTGGGAGTTGACGTAGTCCAGTCCTGTAGCAGCATCTTACATTTTACAGGGGCGAATCGCATGCCAAACATACGAAGATTGCTGCTCAATGTGTTCAGAAGACTCTACATTTTGTCAGCATCCTTCCCTAACAGGACTATGTCATCTGCATATTCTAAGTCCATAAGAATATTCCCTGGTAACAAGTCGATTCCTAAGTCGTTAAGTTCAGTTAAGGATACTTCCATTAGCATATCTATGATGAAGTTAATCAGAAAAGGGGAAAGTGGACATCTTTGACTGACACCACTGGTTGTTATCAATTCAGATGACAATTCCCCACAAGCCCTTACACAGGTACGTGAGTTTGAGTAGAGTGCTTTGATTAGTGCAATGTACTTCCTTGGCACTCCCTTCACAGTCAAACATTGCCATAGTACCTTTCGATCCACGGAGTCGAAGGCCGCCTTCAAGTCAAGAAATATGGCAATTGTTGGCTGCCTAAAAGTGTGTCTATGTTTTGGGATCTGTCGGAGAGTGAAGATATGATCTATGCACCCTCTACCTGGCCTAAAGCCTGCTTGATTTTCCCTCGTTTGTTCCTCCCGAGTTCGACTTAGCCTGTGCATGATTACTGAGCCTAGGATTTTAGAGACTATGTTCGTCAGGCTGATTCCTCTAAGATTATCGTATGAGGACTTGTCTCCCTTCTTGAATATTGGTATAATAAGTGACTTACCCCAGTCTGATGGAACCGTCTCTGATTCCCAGACGTTACCTAGTATCTTAGTTAAACTATATACTAGTGTGTCACCCCCATATTTATACATCTCCGGAATAATTCCGTCAGGTCCTGCCGCTTTGCCTCGTTTCAGATTACAGATAGCTTTTGTGACCTCACTTACAGACGGCGGGCCAGTGTCTATATCCCATTCGGGTGTGTGCTGGATGGTGGGGAGGCTCAGTGTGGCTGCAGGCAAGTTAAATTGTTCCTCAAAGTGTTCTTTCCAGCGTTCAAAGCGTCTATCCTGAGAGCTAATAAAGGAGCCATTTTTCTCAGAAATAGTCTCACATTTTCCTCTAAACGTCTCTACATGGTTGTTGAAATTCGCTAGCATAATAATTCAGTAGAAGCATTAGTTCCCGGCATATCAAGTCGTTGGTTCACTGTAACATGCAAGCCTGACCAGCACTTTAATGTCGGGAAGTGTCAGTAGCATAGATATGTATGTTATTCTGTTGGTGAACGAGACGTGTGTGTGTCTAGCGGCATTGCACATTTCTAATATTGAAAAATTATCGTATACTTTTCAAGTCGTGAGAAATAAGTCAGAGCACGTGTGTACAGCTTTGACTTCCATTTTCGTGATGTGAGGGATGATTTGGATAAGCTGTTAGGTGTCAATCGATATCGTGTTTTCGATTTTTCAGTTTGGCTCCATTATGGATAAGATTTTATTTTGATAAATCACACATTGTTACACAACAATATTAACTGATGACGTTTCCAGCACAAATTATTGCTCATAATCATATCAAGTTACTCACACAACTCTTATCCATAATGGAGTTACACTCTACCACAGTGCTCAAGTTTTATACTTCGATTCTCAGTTTAACGTCTATAAATTCCAGTAATGCGTACATTTTCTCGCTTCCTGGCTCTGTGAACTTCTTTTGGACACTGATTTGTAATTTTCGTTTTATGTCTGACAACTGTATTTTCCAGAAAGTTCACCTCCCTGTATATTATGAGTTTATCAACCGATCTAAAAAGTGTGAAAAGCCTAGACTAGTGTGTTGAAGAGTTTATTTATGAAAAAAACGTGAGTCTAATTAACAAAGCATAAAAAATAAGAACTGTCAGACACGATATAAAGAGCAGAATCTATCAATCGCAGCCTAATCTGTTGCTTGAAGTCGATCGCAGCCATGCCATTGTGAGAGTAAACCATCTTCATTTGGCTGACGATTTCTAAAACAGAGATAGCAAGAATCGATTTCATTAACGTTCAGCATCAAACACAATTAATATCACTTTGTCAGAGATTAGAATATTAGAAATCAATGTGATGAAAAACGAATGATCGTAGATAACGAATACGAATAGCTTAATGCTCCATCCCGTATGGTAATAATTTATAAGTTTGCATCTAGCAATATGACAGGAGGTTGATCATTGCTTGGAAAGCATTTACGCAGCTGGACAGATTCACAGTAGGGACAATACTGAGACTAAACTGAAAACTAGGTGGTGAGAAGGGTAGGTTAGTCGGTGAGTTTGAGGACC